CTCACAACACATCTCAATACTGACCAGTCAAATGTCAAGAGCTCAATAGCTATGCATGCCTAATAGCTACCATACTGGACAGTGCAAAACAGATGATTAATTTATTTCTCACCTACTGATCACCTTCTATATGCCTTCTATACGCTGCTAGCTACTGGGGATATAAAATTTAAGACATATCCTGTCATCTGAGGGCTTATAAGGTCTCCTCCAGCTCCCAGACTATAACTCTGCCCTGACAAAAGAATCAAGTCCTCCTTTGAGTTGCTATAATCCTGAGCACCCCACTCTTCTATTACAACACTCATGATACTGTATTAAAGCTATCTGAGTTTTTTAAATCAGTCTGTACCATGAGACTGTTAGTTCCTTAAGAATTTAGGTCTTTGTGTATAACTTCTAACATTTAGAACGGAGTACATACAATGGTTAAGAGCACAGCTCTAGAGTGAGTCTGCCTAGGTTTGAATCCTGGTTACACCACTCTCCAGCAGTGTGACCTAAAGGCAATTAACTTAACCATTCATGGCCCTCGGTTTCCTTGTCTTAGAAATGGAGATGATAATGATATCCACTTCTCATATGGTTGTTTTGGGAACTCAATGAGATAATACATTTAGCATACTAAGTATGTGGTGTGTACAGAACTTAGAACAGCACCTGGCAAACAATAAGTATTTAATAAATAAATGTTACCAAGTATTATTACGTGGTCAATAAATGTTTGTTAAAAGAAAGAATTCCAATTTTCACTTGTTGATACGTTGTACTATAAAAGTCTTCAGTTCCACAAGTTAAAACCCTTTACTAGGAGAAAAAAAAATTCATGAATTGTATTTTTGTTGTTTTCCATTAAAAAAATTATTATCCAAATAAAGGTTTCTATCCTGAATCCCTTAGTGAACTGAACTGCTTATAGCAGTTATATACTGTGTTTCATAAGAGAGGTCGAAATTTAATTAACGATTCTTCATTATTTATTAATACTTGTGATCAAAGCAGAAGACTTGCCAAAAGCAATTAGCCTTGATGAGAAATAGTTTAACAGAAGCCAAATAACTAAAGTCAAATGTACTTTTCTTGCTACAATTTCAAACTAAAAATGCCATTCTACATTCCCAATCATGCCACAAGTGACTGGAGGAAAGCAGTTATCTCCCACAGCACTTCTCAGAATACGACCATGAAAATGCATAATAATGGGACTACAGAGACTGACGTTACATATCAACCTATAATAATAAAGTCCTATAATGTATATACCAACAGGACCATATAGGTCTGCAGAGGCTGTGGTAATGTACTAATCTACCATAAGAAAGTCCTATAAACAGCAGGGAATTCCAAGAATAACACAGAGCTTAAAGCCATCAGAGAATTCAGCTACGTGAAAGTAGCAAGAAAAAGTAAACTAAATTAAGAACAGGGTTTTGAGAAATTAATAGACAAAATATGGCACCAATAAACATTTACTGAATGAATTAATGAAAGGATGTGGTATCAAGCTGCAGACAAAGTAAAGCCATATAAAACATGGACATGTGTAATAAGGCCTTGAAGTGTATGCCAAAGTCCAAATTCACAGAGTTCAAATTCAACCTTTACTCAATGCCAACATTATTCATTATATTATACTTACATACTATTTCTGTGCATATTCATATGCTCAGCTAAGCTACAGAGTATATAAAGAAAAAACATATGTGGTCCTTGACCTCAAGAAGCTTACAGTCAATTTAAGGAACCAACAAATATACATGAAAAGCTAAACAACACAAGGGAAGGGGGGTCTCACATGGCAATTTACAATTAAATACCAAAAGATGGTTTTATAATACTAGGTGCTATGGAAGTTCAAATTCAAAGGAAGCTCACCGTAGGCTAAATTACTCAGGAAAGGATTTATTGATAGAGTAGAACTTAAGTTAGGCCTCAAAGTACAGATTTAGATTGAGGAGCTGTGGAAGTCAAAGGGAAGGTATAATACACACAGCATTCTCAAGAACAAAGGAGTAGGCCGGGCACGGTGGCTCACGCCTATAATCCTAGCACTCTGGGAGGCCGAGGCGGGTGGATTGTTTGAGCTCAGGAGTTGGAGACCAGCCTGAGCAAGAGCGAGACCCCGTCTCTACTAAAAATAGAAAGAAATTAATCAGACAACTAAAAATATATAGAAAAAATTAGCCGGGCATGGTGGTGCATGCCTGTAGTCCCAGCTACTCGGGAGGCTGAGGCAGTAGGATCGCTTGAGCCCAGGAGTTTGAGGTTGCTGTGAGCTAGGCTAACACCACCAGGCACTCACTCTAGCCAGGGCAACAGAGTGAGACTCTGTCTCAAAAAAAAAAAAAGAACAAAGGAGTAGCAACCTAGCAAGAGTGGCACATTCAGACATTCCAACTCAAAGCTGGAAAAGCGGGCTGAAACTAGATCATGGAAAAATGTGAATTCCAGGAGAGACATGTTTTCTTAATCACATGGGCAAGGAAGACACTGAAGGCCTTCTAGCTAAAGAGTGACACAACAAAAGCTGTGTTTTACATAAAAATTGAGAGTGGTTGTCCAAGGCTGGTGGTTAAGGCAAATGAGGAATGACTGACTGCTAATGGGTGTGAGGGAACGGACTTTTAGGGGTGATGGCAATGTTCTAAAATCAGATTATGGTAACACCTGTACAATTGTGTAAATATACTAAAAACCACTGAATTGTACACTTTAAACAGGTGAACTTAATGGTATGTAAGTGGTATCTCAATAAAGCTATTAAAATAAATTAGTTGAATAACAGCGGACAAGAGAAAGGGGTAGGGGTACTAGGAAGACCAAGTAGATCAGGTGACCAATTAGAAGATTAATACATAATCCAAACTTGTGGCAATGAAAAGCTAAGCCAAAGCTCACAGATACTAGAGATACAGAAATAAATACATACAGCTTGAAGGTGCTTTGGAAAGTGAATGAGCTCAGAAACTCAGATCTGGAAGGATTGTTGGAGGCCATCTGGTCTGATGAAAGAATCCCATTAAAATGACTCTCACTGGGAGCCTAATGATACGAGGTTCAGTAAAGAGAATGTAGTAAGCTGAGTTCAAATTTAGATCTCCAGTAATCCAAAAGTGTTTGTTCAGCACCTATTATGTTTCAGGCACCAGGGTATTTCCCAGAGTTTGAGGCAATGACAAAATAAACAAAAAGTAAGTACGGAGACCCAATAAGCAATTGAATATGTGAAACTAGTGCTCAGAGAAAGAGCAAGGATAAAGAACAAATTTTAAAGTCCACCAAGGTGATAGCCAAGAATAGATTAAATATTCTGAAGGCGATTAAGAAAGCAAGCAAGGAAGAACAATAGAATTCTAGAGTAGCTGTGATACAAAAGGAAAAAGCACCAGGGCTTAGCCTCAAAAAGTCTGAATTCTAGACCTTGTTCTGTCATTCAACATGAGCAACAAAATCTTAGTTTCAGTTTGTTCATCTGCAAAATGAGAATAACATGGTTGTTATGAGGATTAAATAATAACAAATATATAAAAGAACCTGGCACATAGTAAGGTACTTAATTAATAATTGTTAAATGGATGAATCTCCTACTGATGTCACTTATAAACCATAATATTAAACAGTAAGACAGATAACACCAATGGTGAAACTTTTAAACAAAGCCAGGTTACCAAAAATGAAACCAGAAAACAAAAGTATTAGCAATAATCATAATGACACTGATAATGAATTCAGTAATACAGAATTTAATATTCAGAGTGACCCAAGGCAGTAGATACTACTGCCTCCAACTATAGATGTGATAATGAAGCTCAAAAAAATCAGGACACACAGCTTTTAAGCGTAGAACAAGTCTGATTCCAGAGTGCAAGCTCTTAGTCATTATGCTAGTATTTCAGCAAGCTACCCTGGGAGATGTATAGGGAATGGACAAAAGCAGAATGGCCAAGCACCTGCTCTCTAGGCTGCGTAAATTCGACAACTTCAAAAAGGAAAGATGAAAAGGCTTGAAAGATGCAATAAAGCATGTTTTCACAAACCACAGCAGAGATGAAGCCAACACACAGTAAGAACTGGGGACAGAATGATCCTGTCTAAACAATGCCCTTAGGCAAGTGGTGACAGGCTCCACGAACAACAACTGCAACTGCTAGTCTCTGAACAATGTGTCTGTGTGCAATATAAAAAGCATGCTTGGTCACTCAGTGGCTCCTTTCACCCACAAAAGCATTCAGAAACAAATCTACCACCACCAGCAGTGTTTTCAAACACAAAGGATAGCTATGGTTCTAAGAGATGATGTTTATAAGAAAATCCAGATCCAGATGGCTTATCTGCAAAGGCTTGTTCCACTGGCTATCTGTCCCAGTCCCCCAGTGTACAACCCAAATAAAGTACAAGGAGTTGCTATGAGCAACGGAGACACGCACCAGGAAGGTAAACTGCTGAGGCCACAGCTATAGCAACATTGTATCAGTAACCCCAGGGCTCATTATTTCTATAATTTCTACAGTTAAAAAATTCAAAATAACCTGTCTTGCTTCCCCTACACTACCCTGCACCCCCTTAAACTTCATCACTATCACATCCCTCTAAATATCTCCCCTCACCCAGTCTCCTTGGACTCTATTAAGGAATTACGTACCTAGGTATAAACACCTCTCATGCTCTCATTTCTAAACCCCAGTGTCCTCCAGACCAACCCAGCTCTTCCCTTCCTAGCCTCCCCACCCTGCCCAGAGAAACACCTTTTCAAATGTGAATAAACTCATCCACTTCCTCAACCATTCCATTAGAAAATACCCATCTCATCTTCCTGAAGTGCCAAGACCACATCACTTACTAGACCTCCTTCCCCCAATGTGCTCGCCGCTGTCATTTCCACGCCCATCTCCCAACAACCTTCCTCTCTAGGAGCCTTCTAAACATCCTCATCAGGACTCTCGACCACGCTCCACGACACGCTCTCAGATTTCGTTCAGCGAGCTTAGCACCTGGCTCACAGTCTTGCTTTCTGATGAGGCAAATCTGGCAAAACCATCTTTAAAAGGGCACACCAAAACAGCTGGGCTGAAATATACAAACAGCAGTCACCAAATCATGGGAACAATGATACTGATATAGATAACTCGATATCTCTGGTATCCCTGGCCAGCAGCAGCAGTAGAGAGACTAATGAGACTCAAGAATGAGGTCAAAGACGAGGTGAGAGTTGGGGTGAAGCGAAGCTCAGGAACGAAGTGAGAATGTTTTTGTAATAAAAAAGTGTTATGGTTAGACTTTAGGCTGTATGAAAATATCTTTGAATCAAAATGGTCACATTAAAATGCCATAAACCACAAAGGAATTTTCCTGGGTAGATGGAAATGTTATTGATAATAAGGTACGGTGTACACAGGGTGTATCCATTTGTCAAAACTGACAGGTAAGATTTGTGCACTTCAGTGTTGTAAATTATACCTTTAAAAAAGTGTAAAATGAGAATAATGATAATCATGTGGGTGGAGGTACACAGACAAAACAAGAATGACAAAGTTGATAACTGCTGAAGGTGGGTATTGGGTATATGAGGGTTCATTATACTAATCTATTTATGTATCTTTGAAGTTTTCTATAATGAAGTTTTTAAAATGTCGCATATCCATCTCCCACACAACTCTGCTAAATCATCATATCCTTTAGGACTTCAACATCTACAAAAGAGCTTCTAACACTCCAATTTCAGTATTTACCACAGGTTTTCTAATAGTGCAAGAAGAGCTCTAATTCAGCTACTGTTCTGGACACTCAAAATTGCTCCATTTCACAAGCGCTCTTCCTTAAGAGCGCGACTTTAAAAGATCATGCTAACTGAGCACGATCTTCCAGTCTTTCCAGCTTCTTGCTGGTGCTGCATTCCTGCTTTTCACTTTGTAGTCTCCATCTCTGGATCCCTGCTCAGAGCGTCTTGGCTGTGCATGACTGCAGATGTGAATATTTGCTAAGGGCCTCCTATAAATAAATGCTATGAGAACAAAAAAATAAAAGCAAACGGGTTTGTTTTTACCTTTTAACCTCTGTTTTCTTACTATTAGAACACTCACAATTTGGGTTTCATCTTTTATTCTTTCATTCAAGAAATTCCTTTGTCCAATTGTCAATGATCCCCTTATCTTCAAATTCTAGCATAGTTTGGTCCTCTTATACTTTTCTGTAGCATTTTAAGCTATTAGCCATCCTTTCCCTTGTGGCTTCTGTGTATTCTTCTTGGTATTCTTCCTCAGACCTCTTTCCGCTTGATCCCAAGTTGGGCCTTCACTCCTTTCTAAATAATAGTGCTGTCCAACAGAACTTTCTGTAACTCTGGAAATGTTCTATCTCTGTGCTGTCCAATATGGTAGCCACGGGTCACATGTAGCTACTGAACATCTGAAATAGGGCTAGTATGACTTCATTTTAATTAATTTAAATTTAAATAGCTACATGTGGCCAGTGGCTACTATACTAGACAGTGCAACTCTATAATCACTCTGATTCATTCTCATGACTTCAGTTATCATCTCTATATCCAAGGACTGACTACAAATTCATGCTGATCAAAGTCACCTGGATGAGTTCCACAAGCACCTCAAATTCCAATATACAATCAATCGACTCCATCAAATCTTCCCTTACTTTACTCCAAATACCCTTCCCCCTCCCAACATCCTTAGTTCTATGAATAGAATCCATCATCCAAATCATCTAAGCTTAAAGTCTTAGTCACTTTTAACACTCTCTCACTCTCTCTCTCTCTCTCTCTCTCTCTCTCTCTCCCTCTCTCTCTCTCTCCCCCCATCTAAGCAGATGTCTATTCCTTTTGAGTCTACCTAACTGATCTCCCTGCCTTCACTGCAACGTATACAATAAGCACAATGTTCCTGTCTGTTATTATTCAAACAGTTAACTTTGTAGCCTTGCCTTTTTCAAACATTTTATATTAATAATGCCATTCCCTACTGCCCACAAATAAAGTCTAAATTCCCTCAGGTAGTATAGCATTCAAGATGACACAATCTGGCCCCAAGCTATCTTTCCAGCCTTGTCTTCCACTTCTACCTCTTAAGCCCCCACTCTCTAGCCAAAACAGATTCCTTATCAAATTCCTATACAGCCTGTCATATCTCTGGCTCATGTTCTTCTATCCTCCTTAAATATCCTTCTGATTTTTGTTCAAATCCTAACCATCCTTCAAGGTTCACTCAAATTCTACTTCTTCCATGACATTTGTTAGACCCCTATTGTCCCCCACTAAAGAGTAATGTCTTTTCTGAATTCCCATTGCAGGGTTGTTGTTTTAATTTTTGTTTTTGGTTTCTGGGGTTTTTTTAGACATTTTCTCATTCTGCCGCCCAGGCTGGAGTCCAGAAATGTGATCATAGCCCACTGCAGCCTCGAACTGCTGAGCTCGGGTGATCCTCCTATCTCAGCCTCTTGGGTAGCTAGGACTACAGGCATGCACCTCTACACCCACCTTATTTATTTATTTATTTTTTAAGATGGTGCCCCATTATGTTTGCCCAGGCTGGTCTCAAATTACTGTCCTCAAGCGATCCTCCCACCTTGGCATCCCAAAGTGCTGGGATTACAGGCGTGAGCCACCGTCCCTGGCCTCCCATCATGCTTTTTAACTGTATTACTTTGACAACAATAATCAATTTCTACTTAGTTGGAAGTTGGTTATATGCATTTTTTACTAAATCACAAGCTCTTTTTTGTGTGTGAGACAGGGTCTCGTTCTGGGGCCCAGGCTAGAGTGCAGTGATGTCATCATAATTCACTGCAATCTCAAACTCCTGGGCTCAAGCAATCCTCCTGCCTCAGCCTCCTAAGTAGCTGGGACTACAGGCATACACCACCATGCCTAGCTATATCACAAGCTCTTTAAAGATGTATATCATGTATTAGATATCTTTCTATCCAAAAAAGTAAAAATGACCAATATAAATTAGGCACATAATAAATTATATCTACTAATTATAATTTCATTTAAGTTATAGATCAATTATTATGTCTAAAAAATTTTCAGTATCTCAAAAGTGGCCTAGGCACTAAATTATCTATATAATTTTATCAACGGCACATAAGTGTTTTGGGCACACATAATTCCCCAAATTGCCCTAAGTATAAGCTTCTAAGTACTGAAAAATGGCCTTCATATTCTAGTCATGTACTATCGGTATAACGAATAACAGTGGGGCTGATCCATTATGTCTCCTATGGAAATACAGGAAATTTCCTATTTTAAATATAGTACTTTATATCAACATTGGAAACTGATATTTCAGGGGCTCATGGTTTTGATATGATTCAAGTTAGGGAAGTAACAAATCACTCAACAATAATAACAGCTACCATTTATTGAGCACTTATGAGTATGTCAGACACTGTTCTAAGCACTTGACACGTATTATTTTATTTTTATGAAATTCTATGAGATAGGTACTATTATTATCATTCCCATTTTATATATTTTTAGAAGTTAGGCATAAAAGGTAGATCATATATTTTAATAAAAATATT